CAAGCAGGACCTGCCTTTCATGAACTCATGTCTGCAGTGCCATTCTGTTCATGGAAGCCACAAACCCAGCTGATGTTCCCAAAACCCCTTCCCGGGATTTGTTCCTAAGGTCTGAGTTAAGCAAGACATTTCCACATGCGAAGAGCCTCACTAGCTTCTTTTGAAACAAGATGAATACTTCTATTACCTCATTGCTGTGTCAGTAGTTTAAGATCAGACTTGGCCTGAGAGTCCAAGTACGGGTAGTTAACCCATACATTTGTTTTGAGATGGGCCCAAACAAAACCCTTGTTCCAGACAGTCCTGAACTGCAGCATTTGAGTCTGGGAACCGTATTTCCCGATTTTGCACTTGTTTTCACTGCTCATTGTTTGGATTACTAAAAGATCTAGTGCTGTACCTTATTAACGATACTCCAAAATATCCAGTGTCAGCTTCAGTGTCCACCTACAGTGGTCCCGTATGAAACACAACCAAGCCCAAGCAAGCACATCCATTTTATGTACAGAAGTACCCATGAAAGAGTTTGTTTTTTTCCAAGCCATGTGTTGTGGTGGGGACAAGAATAATGACCGGGGTGTGCAGGAGCATAGATGGTTTCCTATTTTCTTCTTTCAAACATTCAATATTCAGGGAACTGCACGGCACCTTACAATGCCTTAGGGAAGGAATGTTGGTCATTTAGATTACTTTATTACATTATTACTACATTAAAAAACATTATTCATGCCCTCAAGCTGCATTCACTGAGCTTTCTCTTCCTTTTGATTCATGTATTATAGTATTAGTGCTAAAATTCAGCATTTACAGATGTGAAATGCCTCTATTTGTTTAAATTATACCACCAAAATCCTTCCACACACTTTCCCACCTCTTCCTCCAGATCACAGGCTAAAGGAAGAATTTGCTTACTGGAGAAAAAGCAGTGACTGAGCTGCAAAATTCATTCTCTCACTCACACACACAACCACAAAAGAACAATTTTTGTTTATGGGTAAGAGGAAAAAACATCCCTTGGTGCATACCTGTTGGTGTTATACTCTAAACCCCCAACTTCCTTGCTTGCCTGCAAAAGATCAAGAATTCCTGCCGAACTTCCACTCTCTTTCTTTACTTTGGAATTGCGCCCTGGCTTTGCCTCTGTGTCAATGTGAAGCAAATCTTCATCTGATGAGTCATCACTCTGCAAAAACAAGGAAATGGCTCAAAAAACCCAGAAGCTTACTAAGTCAACAAGAACAACACAATAATTTTTGCAGTCTGCTGCTCCTCCAAAGACACAGGGCTAAGCATTCATCATTTGCTTTCATTAAAGGAATTAAAAACCCAAAACCAAACCATGTACACAGTAAATACCCGTTTTCTTGCAGCCAGTAGGCATGGTAGGTTTTTCCTTCCCCTTCCAACTCTGGAGAACCAGCTTTGAGATCTGATCCTGTGCATGGCATCAAACTGCTGTAGGAGTGGTGTTTCCAGGTGCTATGTTGCCTTCTCCTGCTCTTGAGACCATGACCCATGTAGCAAAAGAAGCGAATGTGTGGCCCTATCTCTGCCAGCCCAGACCAGCATCAGGGCACAGGTCTGTATCTTGCAAGACTATTAACGTAGCTGCTTCAGAGACAGGGACAGCCCTGCTCTGCCACCCCTTCTGCAAGAGAACAGGAAGGTCTGACAGAGGAGTGGGACAGACACGCATAAACAGTGGCATCACAGGCCACCGAAGGAAACTACTTGCATCTATACCTTTCTGGGGCTGGTACCTCTATGCACTATAGCCTAGCATATAATAGAACAACATTTTTCCCCTTTCCTGCCCTGCTCTCAAGCCTCTAAAGTCCCAGCCTTTATTGCTGAGACTGCCAGTTACTGCTCTCTCCAGGAACTGGCCTTCCTCCTTAAGCTTCTGCACAGTGAGGCACCAGCGGGTTTCTCCCTGTTCCCTGTGCACTGGTCTCCAGACATCAACTGCTGACTGAGGCAAGGAGATCTGCACTTGCTCTTGAATATCCCTGTGCCAAACTTGGATGAAAAGGATTCTTAGTTCTTAGGGCTAAACATTTCAGTCACCTACAGTTCTGTGTTAACAAGCTATTTTGCTTTTCCTGTATTTTCTAGACATTGTAATATGAATTTTTATTAATCACAGTTGGGCAAAACATTTAATTTTAATGTCATTTCATGTAATTTTATTTCCAGCATCGACCTTCACTGCTAACACAGAGCAAACTTACGCCTGTGCTGTTCAGCTGCCTGAAGGTGAGCTATCAACAGGCACATTGACACTGCCTCAAGTTAGGGACATGCTGAAGTACCATGCTGAGTCAAGGGCATTGTAGATGTAGAGCCCATAATGGTCAGAGGGTGACGCTGCTCAGTGACAACAAACAAAACCTTTAATTGCTACATAATAGGTACTAAGGGCTTCTAGTCATGCGAAACACCAAGTGACATGAGTTCAATTGTATCAGCATTACTCTGAGTTTCATCTGTCAAACATAAACATGGAATTTTAACGACCAGTGTTCAAAGCAGGTGGAAAAGGGGGGACAGACAGGTGGGGCGCACAGCTTGGGACAGACCCCTGTGCCTGCCAGCAATGTAACATCAAGCCAGGTACGAAGGAAAACCCCTGCTTGCTTGTGATAGGTACAATAATAACCATACCTTGTATGATACCGACTCCACCTTTGGCTTCTTAACAGGAGTGTGCTGCAGAGTGTCTTTTTTATCTGATAAAACTGAATTAAAAAAAAAAAGAAAAACAAAATCATGGTTCTTTTCCCTTCAAAAGATAGCACTCCTAAGCCACAACTTCTAAAGCAATTCAAATCCACTTATACTGGACTGACAGTTAAGACATGTCTGTCTTTATTATAAATCACATAGATCTTAAAGCATAATTTTGGCCAATCAACAAATAAGTCTTTGTTGTGCAGTTACAGACAAAACAGGAAATATTCTTACAGGGCAGTTCTCTTTTTGTAGTGTTTTTCTTCCTTCTGATTGGAAACTCATCAATTTTTAGTTCACCATCATCTGACACATATTCATATTCGTCTCGCACAGGTTTTGCTTTATCTTCTTTAAAATTCTGCAGTGACCCAAACACACTAGTATTCAGCTGGGTTTTGACTCCCTTTGAACTGAAAAAAAAATTACAAATCGGTAACTGTACTCTGATTGGAAAACATTTTGTGAATTGACAGACAGGAAGACGACGAGTATCTTTATGTAGAATTCTCAGTCAACTTGAACACTTTCAGAGGTGCCACAGCAATTCAAATAATTTTACAAACACATTTCTGTACCTACAATTTATATCTCAAAAATATGATGCCAACTTGAGTAGCCTTGGCTGGCTTCAAATAAGCATTATATTACTTAAAGCTGTCTCAGTGAGGCCTATCATGATATACATAATGCACACGTGGCATGGAATTTTGGTATGCAGAGTTCATTCAACAGTTTCTTTAAAAAGTACCCTGAGTGCGGTCTGTACAAAAACCACTTAGTATCACTCAGCTAGTAAGAACCTGAAGTGCCAAAACATGAGACACTGCCTGAATACTGAAGAATCTATTCTCAAGCAAACTACCAGCCTCAAAGACAGGTCGTTGCTGTTATGGCCAGCTATGCTGGGCTCTAGGTAAAATCAAGTTGTAGAGCGAAGAACTTGTTGTGTGTTTTCTATATTGACCAGAAAAGCAGATTTTCACTTTCTTGTATAAAAACCCATAAATAATGACAAGACTTTTGAATCTGCTTTTTTTAATTGATGTGTATTGTCATATTTTTTACTTACCCAAGCAACTTTTTATTAGAGAAAGAGAATGTAAATTTGTTGTCCTTATTTCCTGATAAAGGTGTCTTTTCCGATTTGTGTTCCTCTTCCATTTTTAGAAGTGAATCAGGTTTACTGTTCTGAAAGGCAAAAGACACAAAACAAAACAAGAAAAATAGTTGAATGAGTTGTTGATGTTTCAGATCCCTAGGTAACCTCAGAGAATCCACTGACCTATACACAGAGAAAAGTATGTTCCCCCAAATGTGGTAATAGAGGATTATACTCTTCCTTAGACTACACAGGTTTTAGTTCAGGGACTTGTCCCCATTCAAGAAGCACTTCACCACCAGTTTAAGCAATGTCTGCCAGAAAGAAGTCAAATTTAAATACTGCTTTCTTAAACTGGTACAGACTGATGTAAAATACTAAATGCATTTCATGAATCAGAGCACAGGCTGAGCACACCTGTGTGGGTAAGGACAGAATCTAGCACAGTGCCTGTAACCTCGCAAATACGACTGCATTTTATTCCCAGGCTCCACTTGCTTCTTTCACACCTTCAAAAGAGCTTGAATTATGAATTTAATAATTTAATATCAAAGTCATTCAGTGCAAAGGAAGCCTCCGATTATTTTTTAAGCATTGCCTTAATACTCTCCTAAGCTGTACTGGCTGAGGAATTAATTGGTACATATTGATCTAATTACATTAACGGTGACTTTAACACAAAAAAATTAGATGGCTCTAATGTTAATGATTCATGACTCTTAGCCGTTTCCACATATGAAAAATCATGTACTTTTGTTTTGTTTTGGGGAATTTGTCTGCACCCTTGTCATTAGAAGTTCACAAAGCAGGCAAAATTCAGACAGCTATTTCTGAGAAAGCCTAGTGTCACGTTGTTTTAAATGGTACCTGAAGAAAACATGAATTAATTTATGAATGGATTTTACTTTACCTTATCTTAGCCCTCCAGGAAGGCAAGCTTTTAATTCACGTGGCATAATTCAGATTTTATTAACTTTACTTTTATGCCATCATTAGTTGTTGATTTCTGTGGAACTACTCCGACTTAAAGTAGTATGACTATGTTAAAGTAAGAATCACAAAAGAGATCAGCGCTGAAAAGCCTCACTATTAACAGCGTTTGGCATACGCTTTTGAAGAATATGCTCCCTCCCACTTATCAGTGACTACTTGGTTATTTTCTGCTCAAAATTTTTTCTTTGGGAAGTGAAAATTTGTGCCTTGTACTCTCTGTGTAGGTAGACCTATGAACATTTCTCCACCCTTGACTTATCCCTATGTGGCAGAATCAGCGGCAGAATTTAACAGGAGACATTACCTTATATTTCCATTTGGCTTCTGTTTTGCTTTTATTTTGCTCTCGAACTTCAAATTTCTCCACCTCATTCTGCTTGCTAGCAGCTTCTTTATTGGGAACACTTAAAACATTCTTTGCAGCCTGGGGAAAAAGTCAGCATGTACTCTTAATAAGGACGGAGTGCCAGAATATTACAGAAACACATTTTTCATCTGGAATATAACATCATATATTTTTGAAAACTCCTCTTCTCATTCATTCTTTTTGAACCCAAATGTGAGATTCAATCAAAGATTGCTGTTTCAGAGAATGCAGGAGACTAGCTGCATTTCTCCTTGATATACCAGCATACAAGATTACTGTAAAAACATACTAATCTCCCAGCCTGTTGCTTTGTGGACAGGTTTTGCAAACTGCATACAAACTTCTAGGAAATTCAGAAGCATTTTAGAAAAGACTTATGGATACATCCTAACGAACAGTGTACAGTACATTAGTCTGTCAGTGCCTCAGTGAAATCCTGGCCTCTACTGAAGTCAGCAGCAAAATTCACGTCGAATTAAAGACCATCAAAATGAAACTTGTCCTACATGGGCAAAAATGGAAGCAAACCGTAGTTTCATCTTCATTCACTCATTCTAGAGCAAAATCTCATGCAAATAAGATGCTTTAGAAATGAGTTCCTTCATCTTTGATAACCAATTGGAAATGCACACAAGAGTGCTCATAACACTTGCAATAAGAATATAATAGTTCAAGGAACAAAAAAAAGAGCCATTAAAAAATGTCTTTTAATTTTCATCCTGCCTCAGTTTTGGCAGGGAACTGGCTGTAGTCTGCCAGACTCAGCTTGAATCAATAGGTTTCTTGGAGGCTCAAATGAATAATCAAAATATCAAATGAATAACCAAGCAAACAGTCAAATCAAATTGAACAGCCAGGTAAAAAAAGGGTGATAAGCTTTACAAAACTTTCATTTGTTTCAGTGGAGACAAGGTTTTACACTGCGTTGCTTAAATGATCTTTTTCATGAGACCAAGGGAGTGGTATTAGCCCTATTGTGGCAAGAGAACAGGGAGAGGTTAAAATATGACCCACCTTTCCCTTCTTTGGCGTCTCGATCTTCGTCAAAGCCTCCTTTGTGTGTGCCTCCAGCAAGTCGAGATTCGGGATGGCTGGCGGTGGACTCTCTTTTGCCTTCTTTCCTTTCTTTTTTCCTTCTCCCTTAACTTTTGGTGTTTTGGGAGGTTTAGGGGGTTTGGGTGGCTTGGGAGGTTTGGGGGGTTTGGATGGCTTGAGTTGTTTGGGGGTTTTCACAGTTTTGGGAGTCTTTTTTTTAGGGAGCTTTTCTACAGGTGGGGGTGGAGGCGTCACTTGGACGATGGGTGATGGTGCCTCCTCCTTCTCCACAGGACAGATCTCCTCGGCAGTTGTGTTGGCACTCACGTCTGCTTTGCTGGCTTTCGAAGCATTCTGTAGTTTAGCACAAAATGCCCACATCACATGCCACAGTAACGCACTGCTCACCACTAATTCCTGCCCCCACGCTGCTCAAGCACAAGTTTGGCCTGGAGAACCTCCAGTGGCTTCCTAAAGAACGTAACTCTCACCAGGTTATATCATCAGGTGGGACTGTTAAAGGGACTGCCCATACAAACAAATGTATAAAATGAATGGTCTTTTGTTTAAAATGCTAATCAGCTCGAGCACAAACCATTTCCATTTAATTCAGATGTGAGAAATGTAGCAGAATCATCTGTCACCCTCAGGAAAAGTAAGCAGCAAAATAGTTGCCCAATTAAAACTAACACTGTCTGACTAATTAAAAAGAAATTATTTTCTGCTTAACTGGCCATTCTGACAATCAGGAAAACTTGCATTCTACATCAGAGGATAAAAGGACAAGACAGATTTCAATTTTGAGGTCTTTGGATATAGTTAGGAAAGGAGTGGAATGTAACACAATGTCTTATTAAAACAACTGAACTAGCTATTGTCACCTTGCACTGTCACACATCTCCACTGAGTAGAATATGATACCAGACTTAATGGATTGCACCTCCCATGCAACCTCCTTTTTTGGGATGGGAAGGATATAATTATTATCACATTTGCTTTAGTAACTCTGCCTAGAAGCCAACCAATGGGGATGTACAATGTGCAGAAGAATAATTCCAAGCTCAGACATTGTCATAGACAAGACCGATAAGGAAAAGGAGATAGTACATAGGGAGCATGATCACGGGATGGCAACAGCGTTCTCTGAGTTCTATGTTTTTGGGTAGGGCATAGCTAAAGTGAAAGAGAAGATAAGGATGGAGAGGGGAGTGCGGCCAGTCCAGCTAGAAGGCGGAGGAGGAAGGATGTAGGACAGGCAGACACAGCATAAAGCTGAGGAGAAAGCCAACAGGAGCCCAGAATATGGGGTGAGTCAGCCACAGACAAGAATCCTGAGCAGTCCCCCTACTCTGAAACCTCACATGAATTCTTTCAATGAAGAGCATGGCAAAAAAGATTCAGTTATTTCAAGTCATCCATTTTATAGCCTAGACTATTAAAAGACCCACAATTTAGTTAATGTTATGAGAAGAGCACAAACCTCACTTAATCTTATTTCTTTGGCAAGGTCCTTAATAAGTTGTGCTGGTTTGAAGTTTTCTGGTAGTTCATCTTCATGCTCTGCTAAAGCCTAAAACAGAACAAAGCCAGACTGCTGTTTCTGTGCATGTCTTTTTGCAAAAATATGTAAAAAACCTTATTTTTCCTATGTACTGAAATCAATACTGACTGCATCAGTAGTCCAAATAAGGAAAAAATACAATTCTTTCCCCTTCTGGATGTTATTGTAAACAGTTGTCCTGAGAGAACAACAAAGTCAACACTCTTTTTCAGATTATTATTGCATTTTCACACCTGTAATGTCTCTTTGCTCACCCCCTTATATGAGACGCTGTGAGAAATTCCTTTTCTACAACTACAAGGAGGGACTGTCTTAGGCTGGTGTCTTCAGTGAGTATAAAGGCATACACGTTGTCAGCAGAGTGGGGTGGGAGCTCCCTGACGGGACTAACAACATTTGCGTCCACATGCCATGTTATAATATTCAAAGTTCAACTTTGAATGCCGACACAGTCTCACTTCTTTTGACTCACTACTTCTCATCTGCATGGCAAGTGGAAAAATAAACAGGGTGTGATGGAGACGAGAGCTTCCACACCAGCCAGGCCTTCTACAGGAATCCAGGGAGCAATTCTGAATTCAGGCTCAAGCCCCGGCTTTTTGCAGTAGGGAGCAGCCAAGTCCCCGTCGACATTTAAATCTGGGACAGTCACCTAACTGACCTAACTGTGTATGCAACACTGTGTACTCAGCTGCTTATCCCTTCTTAAAATGTCTGAAAATCCTGAAGCTGCTAGTTCCCCTGCTCACCTTTTGTGATTGAATGGCCTGTCTGCTGCAGCAAATTCCCCAAAGCTCTAGGAGCAACACACGCAAGAGTTACACTCCTGAAATGACCGAAGCAGGAAATCCAGGCTGCAAATCCCTTTAAGCCTTCTCTCCAACCAGTATGTATTTCCTGGCCCAACTAACGTGTTGATTTGCAGGAACTGGGCACCTTGCGCACACAAAAATGCAGGCGTTGTTCTAGGCCTCCCTCGCATATGTGACCTCTGCTTAATTAATTTGGCACATGAAAATGCTCTGAGTCGGGGGGAACATTCCTTCAGTATCCTCTTGGTCGTGTGCAGAACTGACTTTTTAAAAACCCCGGCGGTACCTTTTCTTCTGCTGACTCCTCATGTGGCACTATGAAATCCCAGTTATCGCCCTCCTTCCCCGCTCTCCCAGTCCCTTCTCATTGGGATTTCTGAATTAGCTGTTTTGCTACGGAGATATTATTTGTTCTGACATTTGCTCTCTGTTCCAGTGACTGACAAGGCTGAGACACACACAGTATAAAAACAGGCTTCCTCCTCTCCTACCTGTTTTTTAGTCCACGACCTGAAAGCACCATTGAGAATTTTTGCTCCTTGGAGTAAATGAGCAGGAGGTTGTTGCCCGGCTTTATGCAAACCTAGGTAGAGGAAAAAACAATGCCATTCAAACACGGCTAGCTAAAGTTGTTTTACATAACGTCTTTAATTTTAAGAAGTCTAACTGTGAAAGTTAACTCTGAAAGTTGGTCACTACAAATGAATCCCTATTATAACTTGATGGTAATAAGGAGTATATTTACTGTGTCATAAATCCAACTCAGCCTTCCTACACTGTGCTCCTGTAAGTTATGTCTATACTGGCAATCCTTCCGGTTCCTTTCTTGGTCCCATACTCAAGCTAGCTTCCATGTTCATACATCCTAGGCTGTGGGAATAAAAAGGTACCGTCAGCGTTTCTTTCATTCTGACTGAAAAAGCAAGTACCAATATGTGGAAACAAAGGTCATACTGGGCAAAGCATTTGACTTCTGCATGAGTACAAGCTTGCCTAAACTTCTCCCCTCATTCCAGTTTTTGTTCAGAGTTGGTCACAAGGTGGCCCCTTCCAGGCAACACTCGGAGGGACTCCTCACCTTGCTTATTAATTAGACACATTTTTCTCATTATAAAAGGATCTGGTGGGTGTCTCTAGACACTGTTCTGTAATAAGAGAAATAGGGGCAAAGAGCAAAGTGAGACCGAATCTGTAAAGAACATACAAGCATGGATGTTTGGATCAACTCTGAAGGAATCTGACTGGGAACGTTTTGAATGTCAAAGAAAACTTTGCTTTAATTCTTAGTGCTCCTGCTGGCCACACCTCTGATGTTCCTGTGTATATGTGACCTGCCCACGTACTTCAGCTGGGACCAGCAGAATGATGGGAGTGCTACTCTGTGCCTTGGGATGACAGAGCAGGTACTTCATTAGGTTAAAACAGGGCACAAATCCAGACTTGACAGACAACTGAAAACTACAAAAAATGTTACAACATTATTTGCCTCTGAGGCAACTTAAAGGCATTTTATAAAGAAGATGAAACCTTCCTTAGGCACAGGTAAGAGGGACAGTTAAAGTCCTTCCTAGAGCGAGACAGCAGGATATTAAGGGGAGAGCTGGACAAAGACCAGCATGTTCTGCGGGTATGTTAAAAGTAGTTTTCAAATACTAACAAGACTGATTTTGGCCACCCGTCCATCTCCCACATGACACATCAGCAGAAATTAAGAGTAACTATTTTCAGGCCCCTGAAGCTAAGCAATTAAGGCAGGCAAAGAAATGCAGTTTTACCTTTGAATGTCTCTAGTAGATGCTTTCCCATATACCAACACGCAGTTTCGAAGTTTGGAAACTGGGTCAGACTGACAATTTTCAATCGTCTTTCTACTTCGTACGCCCTGCAATACAAAGCCACATGAACCTAAAGCACAGGTCACAAGAATGTCACACAGCGACAAGCACTGCTCATAAGGGCCCGAGGTTCATTTCGCAGTGCTTCGTTTCTTTGTGCTGCTACCACGTATTCTGGCATCAGGCCAAAAATAACACTAGTAAGAAACTGTGCGATACAGATGTAAGATAATTTGATTGCATTATTTGTCCAGTATCAGTAAAGAACTACTTGTATTGTCTTACGTTGGGCAAAGAGCCCAGCTGAGCATGTGGGGGCTTATCCAGAAGGCAAATGGCATGTTCTAGGGTAAAACTCCTGACAGTTTTTAACAGTTCTTCCTTCAGGAGTTGGCCACATCAACCCAAGCACCTCTCGCACAGCCTTCCATGCACTACACAATAGGTGTAAAGACGGCTTGGAATAACTCGGCACAGGAGAACACGGTCGAAGGGGACAAACGTGGGTACACATTCCAAAATTGGCCAGTAGAGCTACATCAACATTACTGCAAATGTAGGCTAATTAACAGGAGAGAGGACGGCAAATTTATTAAAAAATGAGCCTCCACCTAACTTTAGATTTTCAAGAGAGATTACCTCATCTGCATTTCAACACTTAGGCTATGTAGAAAATGGCCTGCAAAAGCCAGGCAGTCTACGGGTGTTAGAGTTGCATAAATCCAACCTAAAAGAGAAAGAGAAGAGTCCTGAGGATAAAAACTGGAATGGCAGTAACAAAGACTTTATTCACCACATGATGTTTATACTTCACTTAGCAACTTATTTCCTAGACACCAATACTGCTCTTCAGTCCAAGGCAGCGCCAGAATCGCGTACCCTTTGAACAAAGTTGCATCTGGCCCCTGGCTTGTTTTGCACAATGGAGGCCCAGCCCCGGAAGGTGCTAACGCACCTCTGACTCCCAGTCCCAGGACCACCTTCCGCAGTGGCAGGCGGTGAAAGGGGACAGGCTGCTCACACTGCCGTTACTTTCCTGTTCCTGTGAAAAGCAGCAGCAGCTACATAATGGTACCTGCTTTCACATCACCATCAAACTCTGTGACAGCTCCTGACACTCACTCAATTGTAGTGCCTGGAACAGGTGTTTTCCAAGCACTTATTTTCATACAAAAATCTATTTAAATTAGTGAATCTCTATAAATTGCTTGGTGTTTATTCCACCATCTGTTCCACAGATGGCCATGAGAGAAATACCTACTTTCCACTTTTTACAGTCCGAGTAAAATTTGACTGTGTAACATTCTGCGTAAGAATATACTCACACACAGAAAGGATGCTGCCCCCAGAACACAAGCACCGGTGCTGTTACTTACTCAGGCCACCTGGAAGCCTCGACTCAGAGTATGGATTGAGCGGGCAGTGCATCGTTTAAAGGCACACAGAGGGAGAGAAAATCCCTTTCCCAAAGAGATTACAGTTTCAACAGGCAACAGGGAGTGGTGGAAACAGCAATGCAAACGAGAAAATAGTTGTTCATGGTGAGAGGAAGGTGAGGGACAGGGGCAGGAGTAGAACTGCGTTCATTTATAACTCCGCACTACTTGCTGATCAAGTCCCTGTCCTTATGAAGGTCCTCCCAGGAACTGAGAAAAACAAAATCCACCATCCCTAACCTGCAATGAAAACCCAAGTCTATCAAGTAACCACTAAAAAACTGTGACACCCAGGTCTTCAGCCTCAGGTGAAACCATAAATGCACACTCACTCGTGCAGGCACCTGTAGTTCCTTAGTGTCACGGGGAATCAGTGACCATGAAAAGGATTTTGTGGGAGGTCATGGTCAGCAAGTAATTCAGTGTGAATTCTCTTAGATGGCAAAAAGCACCAATGTCATGGTTGGATATACAGAGAGGACTCATGGGTTACTGCAACCCAGCTAGACCAAGAGTGGAATGTTCTAGTTGTGTTTTTAAAAAGCTGCTAAAATATTGGTACAAAGCAATTCTGATTTTTGTTTTGGTAAGCACATGAAATTATACTTCTAGTAAGAATTAGACTTCATACCTTGTCAGAGAAAGTGGTCAAATCATATCCCTCTAGCATTTCAGACATGCTACTTCAGCAGCTCTAAAACGAGCAGGAAACCTCACCTGCAACAGCCTGCTCACCTGATGGAATGAAGAGTGTCTGTCCTTGTTTAACTGTGCATTTGTAACATTTATCTACTTGGTCTGCAAAAAACATCTCACTGTGGTTTGCTGCCGATTGCCAGCGTTCATAAAGAGAAATATTTGCAGAGGCTGGTTTGATGAGATAAAATATCTTTTCTCCCTGAATTAGAAAATATAAAATGAGCAACAAGCGGCCAAACCAAGCAATGCTGCACTGGCACACATTCACGCACACACGCACGCGCGCACACAGATATTTATCTAAATAAATACATAGCATTACGTATTTTAACACAACGAAATAAAATTTACTTGTCAGCTTTGTACAGAATGGCTGAAATAATTAAATCACTAGCTGACAACATTTGCTCAGATTCATGGGACTGATGGTGCAAAAAGTTTACAGAGCCAGATTCCATTACCCTGCAAAAGCAGGACGTAGTACCTTTCAGGTCTTAGGTGAAGTATGTGCAGAAGGCACTAAACGAATATTAAAATCCTAATACAGTGAAAACACACAGCCCAAGTGGCTTCCCCACTCAGCAGACCCTGGCACTGCCGAGACCGTACCCACTTAAAGCAGTTAAGGCTCTGCATAGTTCTTACAGATACAACAGGGCTGTGGGGAAAACAAACCCGAGACCCGAATTTTTGAGAGAATTGTAGGATGGTCTTCGCATGTAAAATTCAGTTTGTTACGAGATACACCGCAAAAACATGACCCCTCACCTTCAGCACATGGTACCACGCAGAAGCTCCTCCCGAATCTATGTGGAAATCTGTGTAGCTGTCCTTCACGCAGATCAGGCAGTACTTGGTAACTTTTGGTTTGGCCAGAAGAGCATCATCAGGCCAATAGTTTTCCACCCAGGACAACTTCTTAACTATATCTGGAGGCTCTACAAAGCTGGACATCCTTCACAGAGAGAATTGAAAACAAACATGCACCTTTTTAAAAAAGAGCAACAAGGACACCGATACAACAAAAGGCGGAGTGCAACTCTAATACTTGCATGGCCATCTGAAGCAGCTCCTGACGTGTCAGTGGAACTGCTCTCCACTCAGAAAACCTGTGAGAACTGTTTACAGACATAGACTTAAGGCTTTTTAAGCATGATGACTTAGCAATGACCCTTTGACTTCTTTCAGTAGCAGCATTTATGATCAAGTACACGCTGTTTCTATTTTTCCAGTCCGTGCCTCTGGCTATGCAGGCTCAGCTATCGATAGCGCTGTTATCACAGCCACAGTTCCAGCCCCCTTCAGCAGACGAAGGGAAATGTCTGCACTCGTACGTAAACGGTCTGGAAAACCTTAAAAATTTGCAAGTTAAGCTTAATATTAAAAATCCTAGTAACAATAACCTTAATACTTCAGGACTAAGTAAGTTGATCTGATGTTGAAAGTCACAGTGATCTTTTTATTTAGACTGACTAAATTACATTGAAAGCTCAGAAGAAGCAAAAAGTCTAATTTGGGTTGATAATGTGACTATATTTAAAATATAATGTGTATATAGTATTTATTTATATAATTTATACAAATGATTAATTTATTTAAATTCAGCATATATTCATATTGTGCCTATTTATTTATTTGTATAATGTACAAATTACATTTATATTAAATATATAACATATACTATAAATCACAAGCTAAGATGATGTAGTGGCATGACAAACAGGTATTGAAAGTGTTTCATCCTAGAATGTGCTAAATTTTATAACTAAATAGTCCAAAATTTGGACTAATATTTGCAGGGGGTGGAGGTTCACTGTTGGACGCTCTAAAATACCATGTCAGTAAGAGCATCTGCTCTTCAAACTAAAATTAAATGCTCCCATGTGTCATTTATGCTCACTGTCAAACACTGATAACAATAGCTCCATTTAAAATGGCAGGGAAAGATGGAGAAGTGAATTCAATTAAAGTGTCACTGTCTATGCTAAGAAATAAAATATTTGCTAGTTAATGTCTAAATTAGCAGCATATGAGTGACAGCTCCAGCAGTCCTTCAGAACAAAAGACCTCCCGTTATTCTGGGATAATGGCAGAAAACTAAAAAAATCTCAGCTGAAGATACTGGTAGTCTTTGAAGCCTGTAATTACTAGAGATGCCTTCTGCAGAAATGGGTGTACACTACTAAAACACTAACTACAGGGCTAAAGGCAAAAAAATGAGCCTGTAATTATTCATCAGCCTTCTTTTTTAAGGCTACTTTAAGTCTTCTTGCTAAAATGGAATGCTCCCCCAAACAACCATTCTTTATTTTTATGTTGACATCATCTTCTGAGTAGCGTTTGTATAAATCTTTTCCTGCTCTGACGCTTCCCTTCTAGAAGCCCCAGCTACCACAGGGACCACAAGAACTGTACCAATGATCTGCACAGCTGCACGAAGTTCAATACGTTATAGACGCATCTGCCTACTTGTGGGATAAAAGCACAGCTCAGGTGATGAATACAGCTATACAAAGCACAAAGCATTAACTTGAACTCTTAGGCATTTACACCGCCTAATTACCCTATGTTTAAAACATATAACGTAAAACACGAGGAGAAGCGTAGGCTTCCCGTTGTTGAGGACTGGTGACTGCACACAGGCAGCACTCTTACCTCTGGCTCACTGCATCACTGACACACCCCAGCCTCAAATTCAGAGCTGATCTGTACCATCACACCCCCCAACTTCCCGCTGAGAAGTTCAGCATCACTCTAGTTCTGAACTGCTCTCATACAGATTACAGGTTAACCCGCAAAAGCATCAAAATGAAAACTACAACGCATGGTACAGGACTACGAAATTATAATAATCTCAAACTTGCTCTCATTCAAGGACATCCAGTGACATGTTACACTACACCGAGCGCCACACCTTATCTATTTACTTACTCTCCGCTACTTTAAATGGAAGATTTCAGTAAGCAATATACGATGCACTCAGAACAGTGAGTAGGATGCCCACTGCTGTACAATGCATTTTAAAAAAGAATGCTCCGAGGAGATCACCATGTTTCAAGGCTGCCTTAAGCCAGAAGGGCTGTCGTTGCCTTACATCCAGCAGGATTCCCATCTCGCCAGAAAAATAACACAGAGTATTAAAAAATAAGATCCCTTATGTCCACGTTCTCCCACAAACCCACATACAGCGTTATCATACCTCTGTGGTCATCTCTGTCCTCCTTTCTTTGGTCTTACTGGTATTCATCAAGGTGCATCTAAGTACCTAAGATCATACTAGGAACACACTACGTTATCATTCACTACCAGGACAAGGCAGAGAATTTGCTCCTGGAGCACCAAGTCACGTTCTAGTTATAACTCTCTGGTCTACAGTTGCACTGAGTTAACTATACCTATCCTACTGGAGTTAAAATAAAATTGAGAGGTACCAAAATGTTCGGTACGTGAATGCTGATGGCCCATGAATGCTGAGGGTATGCAGGCATGAATTACCACGGCAAACGCTGGCCCGTCCAGTCCCCCAGCACCTTCTCCTCACACAGCAAACAGCACGTTCACGCCCCTGCTGTGCCCGAACCGGCTGTATAGGGACGACGTGGCGGAGAGTTGGCGCAAGCAGCAGCCGCTCCGCCAAGGTTAAAGCAGAACTCCCTGAAGAGGGAACTGGTGGCGAAGGCAGGGGCTGTTCCAACTCCACCAGCCGGACCCTGCCACGTATCCCGGAGGCTGCCCGGTGCCGCAGGCTGGGCTCTCACCTCGTGTCCGAGAACTCCAGGTTGGTCACATTGAGGACCCTTTTCCTGTTTGTACTGTAGTAGTAATCCACAAATTCCTTGAGCTTCATCTTGCAGTCTTTCTGCTTGGTGACATCAGTGACATCAACACTTCTCTCCGGTCCTAAAAATTAATTCATTGAAAAAGAGAGATTGAAGGGCAGCCTGACGTGCCCCATATTGTGTGCTGGGGGGCAAGCTAACATTTCAAGAAACATCTTAAACTTTTGATGTTCTGACTTTCTTAGCACTTTTATCTTCCCTGTTGTTTATGTATGTATGTATGTATGTATACACATCTACATATATGCAAAAAAGATGTGCATCCATAAAAGGTGTATGCATAAAATGGTGCTTTTGTATTCATGCCCCTGATGTAATTATTTCTGTAGTTTTTATCTTTAAAGGACTAATGTTATTTTGAATCTATTAGTTTCATTATGGGTTTTATTTGCTTGGCGAAAATTACATGCAAATACCTATATATTCACAGAGTAAGCCATGCTGTAAAAGTCTCATGATTGTAGGCAGAGCGTAATACTGTACAGGATACCTTGTCAAACCGATTTTCCAAAACCCTAAGTTCTCTTATGTTCCATTTTACATTTCTGCTTATGAAATCTACAACTGAGGAGGAGGTTTGCAGGAAAATTCCCTTTTTTTAACATAGTATTTCAGGTGTACCACAAAAAAAAAAAGGCTTTTTGTTATTTTACCCCAAATTACACCTATCAAAAATCCGTCCCCTCCATATTAGAGTACAGAGAATAAGGTGCCAGTACTTACTTCTTGGAGACAAATCTCCAGTGTTAATACTAACAGTCAATTAGGAACTTTACACTGGGCACACCAGAGAACACATGGAGAAAGTCAGAGCTTTATAAAGACTCTTTACAACAAGAGCTGATTTCTAACCATACTCTCGTATCCTTTCTGCAAGAAAAGCACCTCTCCAGTCTTTCTTCCCTTCAATTTTAATTGGCCATATTTTCCCTCTGCCAGCATTTCATTCATAGCCCTTTTCACATTAGGCGAGGAAAAAAATCAGTTTCTTTTTTTATGAAATGCCAGAACAGTAATGGTGTATTTGGCAGTCTGGGTTGTGGTGCTTTGTCCTCTGCTACTTACTTTAGATTGTTTCTAAAAGACATTCTAGGTCCAATGTAATGAACTACAAAACAGCCAGATAAATCCCTGCCTGGGAAATCCTGTTCAAGCGAGCTAACCCCGCGGAGGTTACACCAGCACGTATTTGTTCCATTCACTTTCAAATCTGGTGCCAGCTCCAGATTAAACAACCCGTGTTCCTCCCTCCAGCTTTGCACTAACCGTTCTCTCAGTAGGGTGGGTTATTTCAGATGGAGGCTAAGAGAAAGCCAGCAGATGCATAAGGAGCACCTAGGTCATGCAAGAAAATCTGCTAAGTGTAGCAGATGGGCAAGGAAAATATGTTTCCCGTAGAAGCAAGGGGATAGAGATAACAGTGAAATCAGGGGGCTTGAATTCTCCTTTATTCATAGTTATCTCACTGCACATGACCAACAGACACAGTCAAGAACACCAGTGGCTGGTGGTCGCACCCTTCAGTCTGGGGAACAGGTCAATGGCCCGGTAAGGAGCGCACGGGCGGCGGCGGCGGTGGTTAGCAGACTACATAAGGAGGTAAAGGGACCGTGAAACATGGACGGATACATTGGAGCTGGAGTCAGGGCTCTGGAAGGAGGATGCCTTGCAAGGAGACTGGACAGAGGGAGAATCGGACAGAAAGTGACACAGAGGAGAGACAGACGGAGCGAGAGAGGACAAGAGGAGATCACACATGCTAAAGGAAGAAGGGTCGGAGATAAGAAAGTGACTTCAGAAGCGCTTCCATGGCTCCTGGCCACGGTATGTCTTCCAAGGTGAGATGACATGACGGCTCGTGAGAAGATGCAGCGCAACACCCTGCTCAGGTTAGAGCCAGGAGGATGCCAAAATAATCCGAATGACCAGCAGCAATTAAAATAGCTCTCACTGACACCAGTGTTAAAAAATGGACTGCCTTTGCAGAGTCCGAGTCTCAGTCTAGTAATTCCTTCAATACAAAGCGAGATGGCAGTAATCAATTAAGATCTGGCCTGAAAAAACAATTTCTTGATATTACTAAGCCTGTTTCTTTTAATGCAGTGCTATGGAGTACAATGCAGTCTGGCATTACTAGCTAGTACAAGAAACAAGAGTGAATTAATTGCTAATTACAAAATACCACTACAAAACAAATATTGAAGTCAGCATAGCTCAAGACATAGGCAATATTTTACAATACATTTTACAATTTTTTTATACAAATAACATATCTTTTTTAAAAAGCAGCTGAGCTTCAAAGAATACAATGCCACCTGCTTCCCAGATACCCACCGACGTAGTTTTCCACGTCACTGACGTAGAAGGTGGGCGCAGGTACGGACAAACCCAGGCCATCCTTCTTTGGGACGAGGATGGGCTCTGCAAAGCCATTTTCTTCCAAATACTCTGTTGTTAGTTGGCTGCCTGGCACTTTCACGACTATATCTTCAGCACTGCAAAAAGCAAACACAGATCCAATGTCAAGGTGCTTCCAGGCAGAGTTTGGCATCTTCTGCATTCTACTACTGAAATAAAAAGGTTATGATTAAGCAATTATAGGCAAATCAGGCATCTAAGAAAAAAGCCAAAAAGCCATTTATGTCAAAGCACGCAGGGCACACTAAAGTCATCCGGAATCGATTCGCTCAAGCCTCACGCACCAACTACTGGAAACTCCTAAAATAACAGCTTACAGAGAAAGACCATTTTCCTCAACTATAGGGACCTCTCTAGTTAGCAATGTTAAAGAAATTAGTGTTAAATGTTCCACTCTCAAGAAGGCAAGATTAAAAACACTACATAAGCTCAAATAAAGTGTCCAGGAAATACTCTGCAAATCATTTTTAAGTAGCCAAGTAAATTGGCCAGGAAATATTCTGCAAATCATTTTCAAGTTGCTGGGAGGGTGTCAAGGGGACTAAGGAAAGGGCAGCTCCATCAGACGACCAGCTGTTTGCACCAACAGCTCTCAAGGGAAATTCAAGTCTCATTTCCAGATCTTTTCAAGAGCAAAACACTTTGAATTCGGAGTGAGAAGTGAATGACCTTCAGTCCCAAAAGCACCCTGCCACCGTGTGTAGTTTGTCAAGCAGGTTCCCAAAACCATCCGACAGGCTGGGGCCACACTGCTGGTGGGGGGAACAGCAAAACTTTGAGTGTTCACCCCAAAAAGCACTACCTCCCCGAGCGGGTAAGGCTAATACATGACTGCCGTCTCCCGCAGCAGTTCTGAACTACAGCTCACGCCTTCATACGGCACCAAAAACCGGCGGGAAAGGCAACGAGGCTGCGAGCGCCGCCATGGTGGCCGGCACAGTAGGGCCTCACCGCCTTCATAGAATCGTAGAATCTTTGGGTGGGATGGGACCTTTCAAGGCCATCTAGCCCAACCCCTTGCACTGAGCAGGGTCATCTTCAACTAGAGCAGGTTGCTCAGAGCCCCGTCCAGCCTGACCTGGGATGTTTCCAGAGATGGGGCATCCACCACCTCTCTAGGCAACCTGGGCCAGGGTTCCACCTTTGCCGCCCCATGGAGCCCAACCTGTGGCAGAGCTCCCAACACCCTTTAACTGTGGGGCTCCTCCTTCGACCCCGCCACGCACGGGGAACCCTTTGCCCCAGGCCACCTCAGTGGGGATACACCAGGAGGGAGGTTTGAACCCTGGGGAGAACAAGATGGCCTGACACAAAGAGGTGTAAGCTGCAGAAACCCAGCTTATTTCTGGGTCACCCCATTAATAATTAATTAAAAGGAGCATTCCTCATTTATGTGAGCATTGCGGCCAGCAACGTGCAAAGAATGAGGCTGGAGATTTTAAGGACCAAGAAGCAAACCATGATTTGTAACTGTCTAGTAATGATCGTGCCAAAATGGAGAGTCTGGCACCCACACCAAAGTACCTGAACCATCACTTTAATTATTATTACTACTACTATTACTACTCTAACACTATTTTGGTATTAAAAGTTCAGGAGCAGAATGACGTGAATTATATTTTATGCCTTTTTGCTCTCTTTGCTGTTACTTTTGACCTGAGCCTCACCAAGGGACTCACCATGGGTTATAATTTACCGTTGTGTGCTGTGAACCAGCAATGATGTTTCTGTCTCTGAACTGAGACCCCCTTTATCCGTTCATCACATTCTGACTGATGACTGCTGGGTTTTGTTCTGTGAACGTCTGCAGATTGCGTTCATTTTCTTCAGAAGAGAAAAACTTCTCAACAAGACTTTGTTTTACTAATGGCGCAAGCGTAGATGTCAGAGGCCTCAATCTTGCAGGGCACTCCCTTTGGCTACTGACCCTTCTTTCTCTGAAACATTAATTTGGCAGCAGGATTTTCTTATGTGCACATTTATGTGAGAAACAAACAGAAACAATGGAGGTCCATCTTTTTTTTACAACTTGGGAATGACTCAGCGATCTTGCATATGTGAGCGCAATCTCAGAGGCCATCCGAGGCTTTTGCAATCAGTCTGCCTAGGCCTTAAAACTTTTTTGAGAAATTAGCTTTGCAACTTGTCAAAACGCTCTGTATAAACAGACAAAAAAAAAGGCTAAGAGAAAAATCTAGCAGCAAACACTTTGCACAGGTATTTTTGGCTTTTTCCTTAACCAGCCTAGGACCAGTATCTGAAATTAAATGTGAAATTAAATTCTCCATAAAAAGGAAGAAGTTTTGTGTTTACCAAGTGCACTTTACCAGTCTCCAAGGATTCTTCTAAAATAATTACTCATTAATAATTAAGGATTTACTTGGCTAAGGCCTACATTAAAGAACCAGAAGAAAATCATCAGTCTTGCAAATGGCTGTGAAGCAGCCTAATAAAGTGTGGAATATGTCACTTAACAATTAGTGCTATTCATTACCCCAAGTAAGAGAGCCTTTGTCACTAGCAACTGAGGATGTCATTGTTCTTCTTCTCAAGATGGAGACAGACTTCAGCAAAACCATTAGTATTTTTGAGAACTGGATAATTCTATGCAATACATTGGTTAGTTTTTTATGCAAGCGAACGTTGTAAGGGCAAACACATTCTTGTTCTTGTCTTCACAAATACTAAGCTTCTATGGAAATCCACAGGAACTGGGCTCAATCAAGAGTAGATTTTAATATGGCTGCACAAATAGAAAAAAGGGACATCTGCAATAAAATAGCGCTCATTTAAACTTCACCGCTCTGGACTATATAATGCTTTCAGCAGGGATCATCATCAGCTTCACAGGAAACTGGCTATATACGCTTTACCTCAACAGCCCTGTCCATGTGTGCAGCTGAACAACTTACCTTGGGAAAGTACGACTTCGAAGTTCCTTTATAAAGACTTGGCTCCCGTTCTGTACAGGTTTGACCTCTGTCGTCTGTCCAGTATCGTGTTTATGCCAATTTCTTTTCTTTTTCACTGAAAAAGAATGAATTGAACAGTACTGCACGTTAAGTAGAAGATAATTATTAAGATGTTTGAAGGAAGGACAAATCTTCATTTGTCCTTATGCGAGCAGGGAAGAGGGAACCCCCACTATGCTGCACTGCAAATTTTAATATTGCTCTCAATTCACTATTAGACAATTATACTGTAGCCTGAAGATCTATTGCACACCAAACAGTGTTCTTTTTGTAACATAAGGGCAACCAGACGGATAATTACTGAGCTGCAGAGCTACCGCAGGCTTTGTGCAAACACAGGCTCTGGACGGTCGTACTTGCCAGACTACACACTTCATCCTTATCATAAAAACTCCTAGAAAGCCACCTTTTCCGCCTTCTCAGAATGCATCAGAGAACTTGATGAATGTATTTGTCATGACTGACCTTAGTCTAAAGGTCTGCCCAGCAGTGGCACATTTGACATCAATTTTGATGGGTTTTGAATCATGCCCTGCACACAGCATGCACATAAAAGGAAAAAGAAAAGGAAAAAACCCAAAAAGATGCAATGGCACCACAAATGCAGTTTTTAGAACTCCTCTTATTGCTAGGTTTTGAAAGACGAGCCAGGCTTAGGCCTTAAGTTGATGACAGCAGACTGAAGGCCCCTCTACTGTGCTCCCAGTGGGTGAGGCATATAGGCAAGTTCATCACGGAAAAAGGGTCAGCTGGGACAAGCACAAATAAGTCAGTCGGATGTCAGTGCAGTTCTCCCTTGCCACTGACAGCCAGATAACGCAGAGCAAGAAAAACTGGTCCAGGTTTTCCTCTTAGTCAGCACTCTCTCTCTTAGTTGTTCCTACTTCCAGAGTCTGTCCAGACATGCTCGTTTTGGTTGTAAATTGTTGTCCCAAGTGCATATCCATACTATTTCAAGCCTCCATTAGTAGAATTTTCAGGTCACAGCTTTTTTTTTTCCCCCTTTTCACCCTTCTTTTTCAATCATGAAATTCAGTATTTTACCCCAGAGTCACGTCCTCAGGCTTTTCCTACTGTTCAAAACGGCTAGGGGAAGGAACCAGAGTCCTCAGCACCCTCGCATGGACGGCACTCT